CCTTCTACTTAAGTGGTATCTCAAGTGTCATTTAACCTCTCTTCTAGCACATTAGTGGCATTAAACAGGACTGGTGCTAGTGCCAAACCATTTGGCATCCTATTAGCCCTGTTATTCCCAGCTCAATTTGGTGTCATTTAACATTAACTCATGTTTAAAATCCCTCGCCTATTGTTCTCTCTGTTTGACTGAATTTCTCCTAGAGCCAATTTTGATTATTTTTAAGAGACTTTAAGTGCTCAGAACCCTTGTCTTGAAGCCCATTAAGTTTCTCTTGAGTGCATCTCCCTCTCCCACGTCATTCTCTCTGTCTCTGCAACAGGAAGGAGCCAAACCTTGGCTTGTTGTGGAGGTGTGTTATTCCCAAGCTCTGCTTCTTGTCATGGTCTGTCACCTCTTGCATGTCATGTTCATCCTCTGCATTTCAGAGCACATTTTTCCCAAGGAAATGAGCATATTCCCATTTTCTGAAGTGTTCGAGCACTCAGCACATCCTGTGTGTTCCACCCACCATTAGCTGAGCACAACTGAAAACTTGTTCCTGATATATCCAGGACAATAATTTTTCTGGGGTTTATTATGGGGTTTTTTTGGATGTCTTGTTATTACTTCTTTATTCTGTGCCAATTTGGAGCTGTGTGCACAGCACATCATTTGCTGGGGTCACCTTTTGTCTTAATAGATGGTTCTTTTGCATCTCTGCAGATTTTTGTTAGCTTCTCACTTGTCTTTGACTTTGGGGAAAAAATGTTAATTATTATCTGTGTTAATTAGCAAAAAATTCCAGCTCTACCAGGAGTCTGATCAAGATATCAAGGCTGATTTGCAGGCATTTGGGTCATCCAATGATCCCTTATCTGCCCTTCACCAGCAATTATTTTTGCAACTTCTTTTTTCTCCCCTGCATGAGGTGCTCAAAGTTATCCAAGTATTTTGTGGCTGGTTGTTCTCACCTGGTGCTAATATCCTGCAGCACCTGGTAGAGGTGGTGGTGTGCTGGGCACTCTGACAAGGGACCAGAGGGACATGAAGGACATGGAATAAATGCTGAGGCAGTGATGCAGGACAGACACAGAGTGGTTTGGGTTGGAAGGACCTTAAAGATCATCTTGTCCACCCCCTGCTATGTGCAGTGACACCTCCCACTAGCCCAGGTTGCTCCAAGCCCCATCCAACCTGGCCTGGAACACTCCCAGGGATGGAGCAGTCACAGCTTCTCTGGGCAATCTGTACCAGTGTCTCATCACCCTCACAGGGAAGAATTTCTTCCCAATATCCAATCTAAATCTACTCTCTTGCACTTTGAAGCCATTCCCTCTTGTCCTGTCACTATATTCCCTTGTCCAAAATCCCTCTCCAGCTCTCTTGTAGACTCTCCTTAGGTACAGAGAGAAGAAGTAGCTGGTCCAGGGCCCCTCTGGTCCCCCTGATACAGCAATGGTTTGCCAAGCTCCTTTTGGTCTGCTCCTGAAGGGAGAAATTAAGGAAAGATTATTAAATCTGTGTAACTGTCTTGAACAAAAAAATCATGAAAGTTTAATCCCCGCTATGGAAAGGTATTAAAGATTCATAATTGCAATAAAACTGTCTAATCGAATTTGGATTTTTATTGTTTTGCTGCTGCATTGAGCATGATGCTCCTTATTTTAGCAGCAAAATCCACTCCAATGGATTGCTGATAAATTAGAAAGACCTGGGAGATGATATTCATTACACCTGAACGTGTGTTTCTCTTGGCAGTTTAGGCACTTGCATAATTTTCCCTCCCAGTTATGTTGGTCATCAGCAATTTCCTGATAGTGGGTTTAAAGCTGACAAAGCTCAAACTGAACCTGAGATCCTTGAGGAGTTTGGTGGTTGGGAATGTGGTTATTTGTGGCATTTGCCTTCCCCTGGGCTCCCTCCCTTCTTGTTTCTTGGTTGCAGTGGATCAGCTCCAGTGGAGCTGGCTGCTCTGGCTCTCTGCCTGCAGCTGGTTCACAGAGCTGCCTCTGGGCTGTCTTTCTCTCAAATCAGGCAAGTTTCACATCCTAGCACAAAATTTTGGCTACTGCCCTGTAGCCTGCTGGGGTAGGTGTGATGTCCCAGCACAGCTCTGTTCTGGGCTCACTCCCTCCAGCCACCACCAGCCCTGGGGCATGACCTGTGCCCACAGCTGCCTCTCACCCTTCCACAGAAGTCAGAGGAGGGAAAGGCCAGCCAAGAGCAGGTGGCTGCACTTGCAGGACTTGCTGCTTGGAGTGTTTTTCTGGAGCCAAAGCAGGAGCTGCTGCAGCCTGTGACACTGGGGCCATGCAGTGACTGTCGCTCCCTCTTCCCCTTAGTCCCCTCAGCTTGCAGGCATTGCCTCCCTGCTTGGCTGGCCACAGGGCTGAGGGTTTGTCCCTTCCCTACATCATCTCTCTTGCCTACTGAGCCACAGCTGCTCCATTTCAACAGTTATGCAGACAGCAAACACAGCTGACCCACAAGAAGATGACTCGGGCTCTGGCAGTGATGGTGGTGGGGATAGTGCTGCCCTTGTTCTCCACCAGTCCCTGTCACAGAGGAAGGAACAGTCCCCAGAAGAATGAGGCAAATCTGCTCAAGGTCCCTGAACGGAGCTGAACACAGAGCCAAGCTCTGCTGCATCTGGACTCATTGATCTTAAAGGGCAATTTCCAACCTAAAGGATTCCATGGTTCTCTGATGCTCCTGCTCCAGGTCCTTTTTTCCCACAAGTGCCACTTAGAGCATCCTCCACTCTCACTGAGCATCCTCTGTCCTTTCAGCAGAGGGAAGGGTAAGCAGGAGCTCTTCTCTGACTTCTCATTATTGCCAGCATTATTTTGTACAGCTCCATCACGCTCCCCCCACACTATCTCCTCTCTAAATTTAACAGGCCTAATCTGTTCGATCTGTCCTTTCACAGGCACCTTCATCTGCCACTAATCATTTTTGTTCCCCTTCTCTAGAACTCTTCTCTCTGTGACTCCTTGCTGGGCAGGCAGAGATGTGACCAGGGAATGCACTCACAGTGTGCTCTTGCATATGGCCATTATACTCATTTTAAAGCTATTCTTGAACTCTTTCTTGCCATGGTTTCTCATCATAGGTTTTTGCTGCAGGTGTACTTGGTCATTCTCACAGCTGCACCCTGAGCAAAGCAGTCTGTGAGCTGTTGGTCTTTCACCTGTGTCCTCTTTGTTGTTCATAGAATCATAGAATGGTTTGGGTTGGAAGGGATCTTAAAAATCATCTCATCCCACCCTCTCCCATGGGCAGGGACACCTCCCACTAGCCCAGGTTGCTCCAAGCGCCATCCAACCTGGCCTGGAACATTTCTAGGGATGGCGCAGCCACAGCTGCTCTGGGAAACCTGTGCCCAGTGCCTCAGGACCCTCACATCACCTTCCTAATGTCTGATCTAAACCTACTCTCTGTCAATTTGAAGCCATTCCCCCTTGTCCTGTCACTCCAGACCCTTCTCCAAAGTGCCTCTCCTCCTCCCTTGGAGCCCCTTCAGGCACTGGAAGAGGCTCTAAGGTCTTCCTGGAGCTTCTCTTCCCCAGGCTGAACACCCCCAGCTCTCCCAGCCTGGATCCATAGCAGAGGTGCTCCAGCCCTTGGAGCATCTTTGTGGCCCATTTCTCTCTGACCTTTCCCCATTCTTGTGCTCTCTCTGCTGGGGATGTCTTCATGGGGTTGCTGGGAGACACCACAGCTGGGTTTTATCAGCACTGTATCTGGCACCATGGCACAACCACTCTGCCCTTGGTTCCTGTCAGCCCTTCTCTGGATGCACTAGTGGAAGGGAAACATCCCAGGAAGACAGTGAGGGAAACAGATGCCTTGACAGACTTATAGTACTCCTCATGTGCACTTTCACCCCAGCAAAGCTATGGGTAGCAGTGAGGGAATCTTGGGTGACAGCAGAGTCACAACCACCACATGGACTTGGCAGTGGTTAATCCATTGCTGCTCAATGGAAAAAGAGTCTGGAGAATTAACCCCAGTCCTCTGTGGCTTCCTTGACCCAGAGACAGGATGAGATGGACTCAAATGAAAGGATTGTATTGGCTCTCTGTGTCATTATTATATTAGACTGAGAAATTCTCCCCTCTCCCTGTTTTCTCCTCCTCTCCTCCATGACGGAGGCGAGTTATTTAAAGGAATGTCTCATTCTGCTTGCACTGCAGCATGAAGAACATCAGACTGTGTTTTGGCAGAGCTGAGCAGAAGCCTATGGTTATGCAAAGATGGGAAAGAGCAGTTTCAAAGAGGTGGTTTATCAGAGACAGGGTGAATGGTGATATGGGAGTGAGGAGCAGCACGGAATGCTCTGGAAGCACAGAGGAAGAGAATGTGGGATGAAGGGTGAAATGCCAGATGGGTGCTGTGTCTTGCACATGGCCAGGCTGTCAGGGAAACTCCTGGTTACAGCAAAAGCCCTGCCACAAAATGAAAGCTCTGAAGAGCAGCTGGGGAGGAAACATGAGGAGAGATGGAATCCAGCTGTCTCAGACCCTACAGTGTTGGAGACTGTGGTGAGACACTCCAGCTGAACCTCCTTGCTGCACACAGAGATCTGAGGGTTTGGGGCTTCCACAGATGGTTCTGGCTTCCCAGATCAGCAGGAGGGATTGGGGGGCTGGAGGCCTTGATGTTCTTTGCAGGTCTGCAGTTGGTTTTGCAGGTCTGGTTAATGGAGGAGACTGGACAGATTGGTCTGACTTGGGATCCTAACCAGGCTCCTCCAGGCATCACAGTCCTTCACTGGCTGCCAGCTTGAGTGCTTGGTCTCCAACCAACAGCACTTGGCCCTTCTCCCTCATATTTCCTGGACCCTCCAATTGCTGTGTCCCTAGTTTGGTGGTGGGTTACACTCAGTAGCTCCTCCCTGGTGGGACAGGGAGGCATATTCCTGACAGGAAAGCCCCCAGGGCCTGCTGAGCATCACCTGTTGTGGTTTAACTCCATCCTAACTGAAACCAGCACATCACCCCATTCTGACTCCACAGGTGGGAGACCAGATCCTGGAGGTGAATGGCAGGAGCTTCCTCAGCATCCCCCATGATGAGGCAGTGAAGCTGCTCAAGTCTTCCCGACACCTGATCATGACGGTGAAGGACATCGGGAGGTTGCCCCATGCCCGCACCACTGTGGATGAGACCAGGTGGATTGCAAGTTCCCAGGTCGGAGAGACCCTGGTCAGCTCAGGAGGGTATGTGCTTGGGACACCCTGTGTGAACTTCCCATGTGGGTCTGTCAGCTCAGAGCCCTGTGGGGTGCACACAGTCACCCTGAGTGGGTGGGGACAGCCAGCACGTGGCACGGTGGCAGCCTGTGGATGGGAGCACCACTCAGTGCTCAGGTGTGTGGCTCCTGCATCCACTGCTTAGAAGACAGCATCTCTGGCTCTGAGGTGGACCCAATTCAGATAATGTGCTGCTGTCCCTTTCCCCTTCTTTCAGGCCAGAAGCTTTTAGCTTACAGGCACAGAGAGGAGAGAACCTGCCAGGTCCCATGCCAGGCCCCAGGTGATGAGGGAGGAGCACATGGTGCTCAGTGCTAACTGATCTTCTCCCTCCTCGCAGGGCAGTGGGCGACCATGCTGCAGACATGACAGCCAGGGTAAGACATACCAGACCTTCCTGATGCCTTGTGAGCAAAAATCATTGTTACTGTCTTTTATTTTCCTCGGGAGGGAGGGCTTTGTGCTCCTGATAGTAGAAGGAATGGTAGTTTGATGAGGGTTTTAGCTGGCTCTGGCCTTTCTCCTCCCCCTCATATTGGCAGCTGTTCCTACAGTGACACAGTGGGTGCCCCCTCTCCTGTGCCACTGGTGAGCCACTTGTGCAGCACATCTGGTGCCTCCTAGCCTGGCAGTGATCACTTCAGTGGGCACAGACCATGTAGACCCACTCCACCCTGCAGAGGTGACCGTGATCCTTCCACATGGTGGCTGTCTCTGGGCCCTGCTGGCTCTTGGGATCTTTCCCAAGCTGAAGCAGAATTGAGCCAGACTTTTCCAGCACACCAGCCAGTGCTGTGCCTGCAGCTCTGTGCCAGGTCTTCTCCCCACACCTCTTTGCAAAGAATGTGTCTTTTAAATGGAAATGAGGCAGGGAGGTTTCACAGGTGGCTCTCACTGATAACAGCTTTGTGCTCTTTGCTGGCAAAACATGTTCCCCGGCCTCAACTCCTCTCTGTCTCAGAATAGTTGGGGTCTTGTCTTGCTCCATATCCCTTTGCTGACTGTGCCAGCACTGCTTGGGAGGGAACAGCAAGGACCTCCTCTTAGAAATCCCTCTCAAAGGGAAAAAACCTTTCATCTGCAGCCAGACTTGTCTCTCCCTGAGACTCCTTTGGTTGCCAGTGGCTCTTTTTTCACCAGAGTCTGCTTAAAACTGGCAGTGGGGGCAAATGTGCCTTTTACACAGAATGGGAAGCTGGCCTGTCTCTCATGGCCTCAGCTCCCTCAGCTCTGCCAGGAAGGAATACAGCCTGTGATTAAAGCCCTGGCTGGTCAAGGGACAGTGTCTGTGCTTGTTGAACAGGGCTGAGACACTGTTTCCAACTAGTGCTGCAGAAACTCAAAGGATCATAGAATAGAGCTGGAAGGGATCCTTGAGGATCATCAGTCCAACCCCTGTCCCTGCACAAGACACCCCAACAATGCACCCTGTGCCTGAGAGCATTGGCCAAACACTCCTGGAGCTCTGTCAGCCCTGGGGCTGTGACTACTGCCCTGAGGAGCTGTTCCAGTGCCTCTGGGGGAAGAACCTTGTCCTCATATCCAGCCTAAATCTCCCCTGACACAGCTTCAGGCCATTCCCTCAGGTCATGTCACTAGTCACCACAGAGAAGGATCAATGCCTCTGATCATGGCTCTGGAGTTACCCAGGCAAGTGGTGACACTGAGTGAGGGGCTGTGCTGGTGAATCCTTGTGGGTACCTGTGTCCAGTCGTTCCCAACATCCCCCTTCCAGTCCTACTTTCCAGCTCCACCCCAGGCAGCTGGGTGAGAGCAGTGGCCTGAGGCACAGGCAGCTGGAGCTGGCAGGCAGAGCCCAGAGCAGGAGGCAGTTCTCCATGCTGCCTGTCTGCCTCAGCAGACACACACACTCTCCTCCTTTCCACAGCCAAGTCCTTGTCATCCCAGCCCAAATCCTGTCTCCTGTCTCCTGCAGCCTGTGTTTTACCGGGGGCTGGCTGGCTCCCAGGTGACACTGAGCACCATGGTGAACCAGACCCGTGTCATGCTGGAGGAACAGGCACGGCACCTGCTCAACGAACAGGAGAGAGCCACCATGGGCTACTACCTGGATGAGTATAAGGAGGGCAACATCTCTGTGGATGCTCTGGTCATGGCACTCTTTGAGCTACTCAACACACATGCTAAGGTGAGGCCCATGCCAGGGTCAGGGACAGCTTCTTGTACCCAGTGGGCTGAGCAGAGCCATTGTCGTAGTGTGGACATTGTCCCAGTGTGGCTCAATGCCTCTAAAGTTACCTGCTCAAGGCAAGGTTGAGTGTATGGAAGCAAAATTCATAGAATCATCACAGAGTCCCAGAATGGTTTGGGTGGGAAGGGACCTTAAAGATCATCTTGTTCCAATGCCCTGCCATGGGCAGGAACACCTTCCACTAGCCCAGGTTGCTCCAAGCCCTGTCCAACCTGGTCTGGAACATTTCCAGGGATGAAACAGCTATAGCTTCTCTGGACAGAGGAGCAACAGGCAGAATTCAGAGCCAGGTTTATTTTTTTGACTTAGACAAAGCTGCCTAGAAATCCAAGAAAGCCTCACAGAAACAGGAAAGCTCGGAAATGCAGGAAGAAATCAGTAATGCAGTCTGAGATCCGCCCTCCAAATCCGTGAGCCCTCCTGAATGTAACATAGAATGCCAGACTGGGTTAGGTTGGAAAGCTCCACATCCCAGGGACACCTTCCAGTAGCCCAGGTTGCTCCAGGTCCCATCCAACCTTGCCTTGAACACCTCCAGGGATGGGGCAGCCACAACTTCTCTGGGCAACCTGCTCCTCACATTATAGGGGCAGCCACAACTTCTCTGGGCAGCCTGCTCCTCACATTATAGAGGACACAGACTGCTGTTCAGTGCCAGAGGAGCTTCTGGTGACATTTAGAACCAAACCTCCTCCTGCCTTACCTGCTAGTACACCTTGTCCCTGCTGCACAGGGTGGGAGGGTGTGTGTTCTCCTGCCCAGGACTATGGTCGTGCTCCAACCTCTCTTTGGTTGTCTGTCTGCCTGGCCCAGTTCTCGCTGCTTTCAGAGGTGCGAGGTGTGATCTCCCCTCAAGACCTTGACCGTTTTGACAACCTGGTGCTGAAGAGAGAGATCGAGTCCATGAAGGCACGACAGCCCACGGGGCCCAGCGCCGCCACCGACTCCTACTCCATGATGTCCTACAGCGACACTGTCTCGTCCTCCAGCAGCCACTTCACTGCCACCACCGTCAGCTCCGCACGGGTAAGTCCCTCCTGCCTCATCCTTTTCCTTTCAGCACCTCCTCCTGACAATCCCACCACAAACTCCTTTGCCTGGAGCGCTGTAAGGGCATTTCAGCCCATGGGGTGAGTGCTCTCTCTGCCTCCCCCATGGATTCCCCCAAAGCTTTGATTTCTCCTCCCAGGCTGGGTGATTTCTAGGTGCAATAAGGTGATGCTGTGACATGTGCTGGGTGTCTCTGTGCTCCTGAGAATGAGATGCTATTGTCCCCTGTGTGAGGGCTGGTGGTGCATGTCACTTTGTCCTCACAGAGGGATGAAATCTGTCTCCTTTCCAGGACCTCCACTGCATCCACACAGAAATCCCAGCAATGCGCTGCTTTTAAACCCCAGCTTTCACCAGCTTTTAAACCACCTCCTTAAAGAGGCTGCCTGCTCCCCATCCCAGTGGGAACCACGTTGGCCAGGCTGGCTACTTCCCAGCTCAGCCCCTGCCCACTCTCCAGCTCTCAGCAGCAGCACTCCCACATCTCTGCCAGAACTTCGTCACACACACCATCTAATTAAGTTAGTGTAATCACCTCAGAGTGTGCAGGCACACAGTCCCCAAATTAATTTCCTAGCCATAAAATGCCTTTCATCATAAATGCATTAGTAACCTTGGAAATTAAACCTTTCATGAAGAGAATGGGGGACAATGGGCTCTGTGCTAGTTACAAAGCACAGAAAGCAGCCCATGGCCAGGGCAGTGGGATTGGGCTGCAGAGGGTCGAGGCAGCACAGCTGGTGGGATAGAGAGGAGAGAGCTTTCCTGGTGCTCTGCCTGCCTGCATGGTTTGGTCCAGCCTCCCAAGAGGCCTCAGAGTGTCAGAGCATCAGAGCTCTGCATTTGTCCCATTGACTTCACAAATACCCACAGGAAAGCCATCTGCTCTGGTCAGGATGGATTATGGTGAGATCCTTTCTGGATGAGGATAAACAAAGAGAGTTTTGCTCTGCTCTCTGAGGACCTGCTGGGAAAACTCTTCTGAAGTATCCGAGAGCCAGCACAGGTCTGCCAGGACTGTGTGCTGAGCATGACACCCTGCTCTCATGCTGTCCCTGTGCCACTTGGTTCAGGTGTGCTGTGATCTGCCTCCTGCTCCACAACATATGCCAAGCGTGGCTGCTTGGGCTGGTGTGTGAGTGATGGCCCAGCCCCATCTGGCACACAAGCTCAGAGCTCAGGGAGGGAGACTAGGGTGTTGTTCTGGCATAGAGAGTGGGCACCACTGATTCCTTCAAGAACACATGGTCTTCAGCAACTCTGCAGGTCTTCCCTGGTGTGTGGCACCACTTTCCATGGGTGTGAGAACACATTACCCCTCTGAGCTCTGCCTGGGTGTTGGGAGCACCAGCACCTGAGGTGGTTGTCCCCACTGCTTGCTAAAACAGCTGCTAAGAAAACAGCACCAGCTCATGGTCGATGGGTGCTTGCCTTGGCTAGCAGAAGAGAGAGGCAAGGGGAAGAGCTCCCAAACTGTTCCCTCCCCCCTGCTTCTGTTTCCTCTCCAGCAACCCTCACAGGACGGACTCACTTCAGCCATCACACCCAGCCCTGGATGCAAAGTGGCTGTGGATTCTGCAGGATGGGTTTGGGGGAGGAGGGAGGCGATGTGCTGGGATTTGCTCCTCTCTCTCGTTGTTCTGCATCTTCCCTGACATTATGTTTTCCCTTTTGTGCTTGTTTTACTCTGCTCTTCCCCTCACACGTCCTCAGGAGCGACTCCTGTGGCTGATAGACCTGATGGAGGTAGGGGCTGCAGCGCGTTGCCATAGTAGGTGGGATGATGTGTGAGCTGGGTGGGAGGCAGGTGCAGCCCAGCCAGGGACAGCGTGTGGCTCCGACACGTGCACAGCCACCTCGATTCACCCATCCCTGCCTGGGCCTCATGTGGCTCTGCTGAGGAGAGCTCCTTTCCCCAGACAAGACTCAGCCTTGAACCAGACCCAGCTGGAGCCACTGTCCTGCTTGCACTGAAGCCCTGAGTGCCACGGACACCTCAGGGCTGAGGTTTTGGAAGGACCAGCAGCACTGATGCCCTTCTTGCTCTGCCTGCTGCTGTGCTGACTTGCTGTGTGGGCACCCTGGCTAAGTATCAATAGAGTCATAGTATCACAGAGTGGTTTGGGTTGAAGGATCCTTTAACCAAGGATCCTTGGGCAGAGGCACCTTCCACCAGCCCAGGTTGCTTCAAGCCCCATCCAACACT